ATTCGAATTTATCACGTGATAAGCCGCATTAAGCCGCAGCAAGCCGTGATAAGCCGGCTTATCTTTGAACACTAATCTCAATAAAATTTTAAAAACTAAAATAAAACATTAATATATAGTTAATATTTAATTATCTCTTTTTTGACTTTTTCTTTGTTTTACTTTCATCACTCTTTTTTCTTTTTCTCTTTCTACTTTCACTCTCTCTACTTCTTTCTACCCTCACTTTTACTTTCTATTCTTCTACTCTTACTTTTACTCTTCCTTCTTCTACTCTTACTTTTATTATTATCACTCTTACTATAATTGCCACCAATTTTTGTTGCATCTAACTCATCATCAGATTTTGGTAAAGAGATTTCCATTGAGAGATTTCTACTGCCTCTTGATATTTCTGCTATTGGTTCATCTGTTAGTACATTTTTTGATACAGTTGCAGCTTTTTTTGCTGTTGTTGCTTTAGTTGGTGTTTTTGCTATTGTTTTTGGTGTTGCTATAGGTGTTGTTGTTTCTGTTGTTGTTTTTGCTAGTTTTGCTGCTAATACTGCCATTCCTATATCAGCAGATTAAATAGTTTTGGGAGAGCTAGGTAGAGGTGATTCTTTCTCTTCTTCTTTATCCTCTTCTTATTCTTCTTCTTTGTCTCCTTCTTCTTTTTCTTCTTTGTTTTTTTCTTCTTCTTCTTTATTCTTTCTTCTTCTTCTTGTATATAATATGTGTCTATCATTATTACTACTTTTCCTTTTAATTCCTGCATGACATTGCTAAACACCTAAATCTTGACATTGTTTAGTACTTAAATCTCTGCTTACATAACTTTGCTTGGTACCTGAATCTCTGCTTGTATGACTTTGCTTGGCACTAATTTCTGTACAATTTTGCTTAGCACCTGAAACTCTGCTCTCATAACTATGTTTTTGTTCACTCCTGCTTTTTTTCTTACTTTTCTTATCTTTACATAAATCTTTGTCTCCAGTGTCAAAGTCTGCATCAAATTTATAATCTAAAAGGTTGTATCTAGTAATAGCTTCATCAGATAGTGCCTATTCTAGGCAATCTGGTGGTAGTTCCTTACTTTTATCCATATCTTCCAAGTAATAGTATTTGTGTATCTAGTTATTTTGGACTGCAGTTGTTTTATATAAAAGCCGTTTTAACTAAATAATATTAGATAATAGGCTTATTAATATAACATTTATATATAAATAATAAATAAATAATATATATATATATATATATATGAGGTTCTTGCTATCATTTATCAATACAAACTACTTAATCTTCTTTCTTTCTGCCTGTGTTGCTTCTTTATCTGTTCTCTACTCTTTATTGGACTAATAAGCATTTTCACCTCTACTCTGAGTTATCAACTCCAAATCTGCTTTCTTGTATCTTTTTAATTGTTTATTTCCAGCTCTTAGAAGAAATGACACTAATTTTCGTTTCCTTTTCCTCTTCTAAATTATTAAAAATAATAATTTAAATTAGAATATATTTTTTTAAAAATTATTTTATTTACAAATCACTTAGCCAAAATATCAGCTAAGTGATTTGTAGATAAAATAATTTTTGAGGAATTGATTTAAAAAAAACAATTAAAACAAATTTATGTTATGCTTACATCATTCACTTTACTATTTTTGTCTATTCTTTCTCGATTATATTTCTTTAATGCCTTATTGGCATTAATTGTAATATTCTTTGTTGGGTTTTATGATGCTGCTTTAAAATTTTTTTGATTGTAGCAGAATTTTGCCAATAAGCAAGCAATTTCTTTATTATATCTGGAATAAGCTTATGCCAAATATTATATGATTGATTTTCTATATTTTATTCAGATTTGGCTTGAGGTTAGCCAAAGCACCACCTTCAATTAACACTCTTACTTTGACTTTTTATTAATAATAATTATAAAAAAAGTTAAAACAAAATATTTAAGCTGATATAGTAAATATATTTACCTATAAGTGTATCCTTTGCTCCTCTGTTAATACTGTTAATACATCTTCACTTGAGTTGCTACTTCTGCTGCTAGACCTGCTAGAGCTACTACTTCCACTTCTACTAGCCGATTTGTTTTTTTTACTATGGCTTCTACTGCCTGACTTACTTTTTTTACTATCTCTTCTGCTAACTGATTTATCTCTTTATCTTCTTTTTCATCCTCACTATTTGAACTACTTGAATCTGAAGATGATACCGATAGCACTTCACTTCCTTTCCTCTTACCAAATACAGAAGCAATAGCTTTTACAACAGCTATCACAATAAGATCTACACTTACTAATAATTATTAATTTTATATTAATACTTAATCCCTTAAATTGGTTTGCAGCCAAATTTGCCTGCAAACTTTTTTAAATTTTAAAATTTTTTAATAAAATTTTAAAT